TTCTCACACCTTTTTCACAGAAAAACACCTCAGTTACGCCTGAATATGAGACTCCAAGCCAAACCATGAATGAGGAAGGGTAATGCCCACGCTGGACCCTCGCAATACGCGCGCTTGCTTCTTCACTGCTGTGGGCATACACCTTATCATTTTGTTTGTTAAAACTTTCTTCAATAGTAAAAATTTTTTCATCCGAAAAAAGAATTTCGCGGTATTTTTTTCCCGCGTACCGTCGTAGCAAAGCGCGGGATCTGTCTAGCCTAATTTTTTTTAAACGCTCGTTCAAAAAATGTCCTGTCTTTTTACGATAAGCTCGTAGTCCCAGGTCTTCATTTAGTACTCTTTTAACAGTGGTTCTGCTTAGCCCCATCTGCAGAGCTAGGATTTTTTGTTTACGTACGGGATTTCGTTCGATTCGCGCCTTCACTGCTTTGATGACCTTATGTGTCCGAACTGTGCGAGGTCGGCCGCTTCTCTTACGATCTTCGAAGCTTGACTCTTCGGTGTATCGTTTGATAGTACGATAAACAAACCGTAACGTTATTTTCAAATTTTGAAGAATATTGAAAATGTCTTTTGGCGCGTAACCACAGCGGTGCAACGCGATAACCGCGATTCTGTCTTCTTTATTCGACCACTCCATATTTAAAAATGAATAAAAAATAATTTCTTTTTTATTTTCTACAAGCGCGAAAGTTCTATTTTTAAAATAAGTCGAAGAATTTCTGGCCAGTAATCGAAAATTAAAAATATAAGGTTTTGACAGAACTTATGACCCGACTAAGTACATATTAGACAATGGATCTCTTTTGGATGGTATTATGATAATCAACTCAAAAATAACTTAGGTTAGGTATGGTTAGGTATCCGCTTACACTCATTCCCGTTTACTGGAAAAGTACTAGGCTACCAGATATGTTGGGAAGTAGAAATTAAGATAGAAGATCCATAAAAATGGGTTAACTTCTTATTATGCGACACTTGTAAAAAAGAAACATCGCTTTTGTTGTGTTTCGTCGCGTGAGTGATTTTACCTGAGGCCTTATTCTCAATCAACCCAATCTAGTTTTTTTTTATGTAATAGGTCGTCAAACGAGCAGCCCGACTACCTAATGGTAAGCAATCAGCGCCGCCCATGGACACCCGCAACGGATGAGTTACGAGTGCGTTGCCGACCTTTTAAGGATTAGGGATTTGGGGATTGAGGAAGGATTGGGGGAGGGAAAGGATTGGGCCTCCGGTAACCTCACTCACACGGCGAAACACAACGCTGTGGTTGTTTCACGTCGGTTTTCTGTGAGGCCGTGGTAACACACCGGTCGAGCCGACCCATTCGTGCCGAAGCATGGCTCTCCCACACTTGCGTGTATCCCCAATCCCCAATTATGTCGTCTTCAAAAGGCAGACAATTCATTTGTAATTATAGTGTTACGTGCATGGACGACAAAATTGCTTACCATCAGGTTAAAAAAATACATGTGCATCCCTGCAAAAATTAAAACCAGATGCATCTTTACTAGACATAGTACCAGGCTACCAGAATACTATAAGGGATAGAACTAAAGATAATCAACAGAAAACAGGTAGCGACAGGTTGTATGTACATCCAAACCTGTTTTAAACGACACGGAAATAAGATCGGACTCTATATGTACAGTCGGATACAAAAGTTTTTAGTCCTAGGGAGTAAGCATAAGTGTTTAGGTTGGATTTTATTATTTCTCTAGTCGTAAAATTTAGGATCGTTTAATGATTTAAAACGTCGTGGTGGCCTAGAGATTAAAGCGACTTCTCATGCATGAGGGTGCGGGTTCGAAACATGGCTAGTACGAATGTGAATTTATACAACTTATATTTCCTTTCTATGATTAATTAGACACGCGGTGAAGGAAAACATCGTGAGGAAACCTGAACCTGAATTTCTAATTATACGTTGTTTTTTTGAACCCGCGACACGTTGCACGGCAGCCAGTTGCCCAGCCACCGCACCAACTGTGCAGTGAAATCGCCAATCAGCCTTGGGCAAGCCTGGTGATTAATGCTCAAACCTTCTTGTGGGAAAAGGCCTTTGCTCAGCTGCGTGCACATATAGGCTGATGATATGTGATGTGTGTGAGCCAACGTTCGACACGAATGCGTCGGCTCGACCGGAGTGATACCACGACCTCACAGAAAACCGGCGTGAAACAACCAGTGTTGGTGTTTCGCCATGTGAGTGAGGTTACCAGAGGCCCAATCCTTTCCCATAATACCAACATCTCTGGAATCCTAATCCCAAAAGGACGGCAGCACTCCATTGCAGACCTATGACATGACATAAAAGTTTTGAAAATTCGAAACAATATTTTTTTGACCTGAGTAATATTGTATGCCCATTGCGCAGACTTACAGTGATGCAATTTATAACATGTTAAGTATACTAACTTTTTTTCAGTTATGTTAAACTAGCTACTCTCACGCGGTTTCACCCGCTGCTCGACTCTATTTGATCATAGCTAAAGGTTATAAAAGCTTATATAGCCTATAGCACTTAAGAACATTGTAGCTATTTATCAGTGAAAGACTTTTGGCAATCCGACCAGCGGTTCCAAAGATTACCCTCTACATACAAACTTACAAATTTTACGTCTTTATATAAATGGGTAGAAGGCTTCCCTATTGTTATTTTGTTTTTACATAAAAATATACATATAAGCAAAATAGTCGCGTAAAATTGCAAAGGCCAAAACAATTGCACAACTAACTCGAATGATTAATATCCTCCAACACCAAGATATGTAAGACCTAGAAAAAAACTGGTTGAATCCAGTTCTTTTATAGCTAGGACCTTTAATTAGAACATGTCGATTAGCTTTAGAATGTGACCAATAGCAAAAAGGTTTCTTTCTTGCGAGGGGATGGTCATCAAATGACTTGTCCCGCCCAGGTGAGGCGAGAGGGAGTGTCAGACTCTTACTGAATAAAAACCTCCGTTCCTACTCCTGCTCAAAGCCGAGGCCGCCGTGCCTCATTGTGCTTATCAGCAACTCCGGCTGAACATCAGCCCTATAAGGCCCTGTCCGTGGTGGTCTATTGCTTCGTCAAGGCGCGTGCGAAACGGAACGCGCCGTACACTCGGATCTGGTTCTGGCCGGGCGGCTTACTCACCTTCTCAGACCCCTGCATACGGTGGCCGGAGATCGTCTCTCAATCTCCATCTCTGAAAACCCCGTCTATCTACAACCCCAGAGCAATTTAAATCGCGTTGCCTACTTCTTGGAGTTTGCTATAACCCTTATAGGGTACTTAGCCGGGGGTGCAGGGTAAGTGCAATAAGACATGGCGGCCTCGGCCTAAAACAGGAGATCCCTATCGCCTCACCCTAAGGGAAAAGTCATTTGATGATTTTCCAATCACAAAAAAACACAAATTAATTATGTAGCGAAACTGCCGACATGTCGATGCTTATATACAAAAATAAAGTCAAAAGTCAAAATCATTTATTTCAATTAGACCACAGTAGGCATTTTTGAACGTCAAGCAGAAAAGGAAAAAAGTATATCAAGAGCTTTAAAATTAAGCATGTCAGTCTGTCCGTCTGTCCTCTAGTGAAGCTATTTGCTCGCAATAAAGGCTTGATATCGGCTCGATCGGAGTGATACCACGGCCTCAAAGAAATCTGGTGTGACACAACCACAGTGTTGTGTTTTCCGTGTGAGTGATGTTACCATGGCCATATCCTTCCCCTCCCCCAATCCCAAAATTTCCAAATCCCTAAAGGTCGGCAATACACTTGTCACTTCTTCGCCGTTGCGGAGTGTCCATGGGCGGCGCTGATTGCTTACCATGAAGTAGTCCGTCTGCTCGTTTGACGACCTATCACACATAAAAATTATAAATAGAAAAATAATACAATTTATTAGACTGTATACTTTCTATATTTAGCAATAATATACAATTTACTGAGCATATGACGTAAGTTGCGCGTGCGCCGCTGCATACAAGTTGTGTAACGAACGTCTGTATAGAAATAGTTCATTAAACTCAACACGAGCCGTCGATTGTATCGCCTTGTCAGTAATGTGCTGAGTTTACGAAAAAAAAAAAAACATTTTTTTTTTGAACAATTTGCCAGTTAGCATCTACTTCAGTCGGGACCAAGGCCAGTAGCCCTCTCTGATAGCATTTTTTAAGTCAAACATCATCCAATAACTTCTTAGCCGGGGTTGCGGGGTAAGCGCAATGAGGCACCGCGACCTCGGCCCAGAGCAGGAAAGTCTGACACTTCCTCTCGTCTCACCTCACCTTGGGCGGGAGAAATGATTTGATGATTTTCCCCTGCCAAAAATGCCTTTAACCTCTACGTTTTCCCTTGTTCGTTTCGTATTTATGCTTACGGAAATAATCATTTTCATTATCTATTTGTCTCATCATCATCATCAGCCTATAAGTTCCCACTGCTGAGCAAAGTCCAGGTTTACTCACGATGTTTTCCTTCACCGTCCTATACACTTGATTTGTCACTTATTATTCACTTCATTTGTCTAGAATAAGATAAAGTATTGTGATATTAATTGTGTACTTAATTTATTAATTCAACATTTACTGCGTAGCGTTGCGCGTCGCCGTCTCGCAATTATGAGCTCCGTCGTGGCTTGTAACTCTTCGAGGTTGTGCGTGGAATTCGTCGACGTAAAATATAAATTTCTAGGTCCTGAATATCCAGACTAAATTAAAAAATACTAAGCATTCCCTCATAATAGGAGTAGTCTAGGAGTGTAGGAAAGTCCTGCTAAAGATCACATTGTAAATAGACTTATTTTGTAGGTATCTTATAAGATCTGTTATAAGTACTTTTGGTTATAACATTTAGAACTTCTGTAATATCGAATTTGCGGCAGCGGCCGCCTGCAAAACCTATCTGTGTTATGGGATTCACAGAATTTGGATTGATTGTTTATCTTCTAAAATAACAATGAACCGTGCCACCTCCTTAGGTAACATGTTGTCCTGGTACTCAGATGTCGGTGGGGCTGCAGCGGCGCGTGCCGGCGCTGGACGAGACCGGCGGCGGCGTGCCAGCGGCGTGGAAGAGCGGCAACAGCGAGCCGCCATTCGCGTCGTTCGCGCCGCCAGCCGGCTCCCCAGCCGGGCCGGCGTTCGCCGCCTCGCCGGCACCATCGACGCCCGGCCCGGGGTTTGCGGGCCCGCCGTATGCGGCGCCCGGCCCCTTCGGCTCGCCCTCAGCGCGGCCGGGCTCCGGCGGCGGGTTTCCACCGGGGCCCCCGCAACAGCCACATTTCCCTGGGCCGGGGTTTGCGCCCCCGGGCTCTCCCTTCCACCCGCACCCCCCACATCCGCCTATGCCGCCACACCCGCATATGATGGCACCCTTGCCGCCGCCTGTTGACAGGTCAGTTCATCTTATTAATCTTAAGTATTTTTAACCTATATTTTAAGATGTCGTCATAATAATGACGTGTATTTATTTGTACTTCCATTCCAATATAGTATTTGTATATTTCTTTTTTAGACTCAAATGCGATAAAACAAGAGCTTTAGTGATTATCATTATTTAGATTTATTGCTATTCAGAAGGATTAGGATTAATTGAATATTGCTAAGGTAGGTAGTACCTATTAGGTAAGGGTCATCCTAAGAAACGCTTAATGGCTGCAGTGAGCCTTTGAATGTCGAAACGGCAAGGTATGGAGTATTTTTGACGTGCCATATTTGTATGATCTGATGAATAGATGCGATGGAAGATAAAAATGTAAGGATCGTAGTCAGAACTCTGTATTTTCTGTCTACTGACATGGCAAATATTTTTGCTTAAATGGATGTTAGCAGTGGTATTCCCGAACATTCAAGAAACGAATATTACTCATCTGATCATCAGCCCATAAGTGGGGCACTTATAGGCTGATGATGACTGCCGAGCAAAGGCCTCTTCTCACACGGAGAAGGTTTCACGAACATTACTACTTAGTACAAAACAAAGTCGCTTTCTCTGTCCCTATAATCCTATGTATGCTTAAAGATTTAAAACTACGTTACGGATTTTGATGCGGTTTTTTAATAGAGTGATTGAAGACAAAGATTTATATGAATGTATAATTAATGATATCCATTAAACAGTAGAGCATTTTATATCCAAACCGTCTAGTAACTCCTCTGGTGTTGCTGGTGTCCATGGGCGGCGCTGATTGCTTACCATCAGGTAATCTAGTCTGCATGTTTGCCGTCCTATCAAATAAAATTAAAACAATAGGCCACGTCCCGCAAAGTCTAGGAACAGTCTGAAGTATCTGTTATCAGTCGCCTTATCGGTAGCACAAAGTTCATACGTAATCGTTCATATTTTCCGATCTTATGCGAAAAGATTGCGTTGTATTGCTAACTTTGATTTTGTTGGTAATATTGTTATAATTTATTTTTGTATTTTTTTTTTGATGGAAGCGAGAGGGACGGTGGTTTTCGCTGTACGACTAGGGTAGGGTAGTGTTGGTTATTTTTCGAATTTACGACAGTTGGGTAGTTTCCTAAGTCGAAAATAAATTAATTCGACGTTTGAATACAATAAAATATTGAATAATAATTATACTTTTATACATCGATCGATCGATACACTGAATTTTGGATATTTTTAAGCCAATTTTTAAGAAATGAGTAAACTATTTGACGCAAAAAAACTGACGTCATAACTCGGTTTTTCATACAAATTTCATAGAAAAGTATCGTTTTAGACATTTGGATAAAAGTATTGAATTTGACTAGTTGGAAACTACCGTATTCTCTGTTAGTCTAAAATTTTTATCGATGTATCGTAATAGATCACAAATATAAAAATAAATTTAACACGAACATACAGATTACCTGATGATAAGCAATCAGCGCCGCCCATGGACACCCGCAACAACAGAGGAGCTACGCGTGCGTTGCTGACCTTTTGGGAATTCGGTATTTGGAGATTGATTAGTGGAAGGATTGGGCCTCCGGTAACCTCACTCACACGACGAAGTTCAACACTGGTTGTTTGACGCCGGTTTTCTGTTAGGCCGTGGTATCACTCCGGTCGAGCCGACCCATTCGTGTCCAAGCATATCTCTCCCATACTTGAATACGAATATTATAAAGAGGTAAAATTTGTGAGTTTATATGTAGGGGGTAATCTTTGGAACCGCTGGTCGGGTTTCCAAAATTCTTTCACTGATAGATAGCTACAATGTTCCTGACTGCTATAGGCTATATGTATAATTATACTTGATTTGCGTATATTAGTCGAGCTATCGCTTTAAACACAGCTGTTTTTAAAATCCCTAGATGTATTACTTTTTACGCGTGTGAAGCCACGGGCAGAAGCCAGTGTTTTATAATTTATTTTGGTCGTGTTGTCGCATGTTGACTGCGATGGGATCTCAGCTTCGAGCCCTGGGTTAAGCAAAGTTTTATTGGCTGAAATTTGAATTTCGTTAACTAGGTTTTTTCACATAATATGGTGTAATTTAGTAGTCGAACTACTCTGTCTACCCCATTCGCGGAATAAAGTCGTGATGTTAACCTGTCCGTATTTTTATCAATTTATACCTACCTACATACATATGTATTATAAAAATCACAAAAAATACCTTCTTCATAAGAATAAAATAAATGCTCTGTTTGTGTGTGTTGCCCTCGTCGTGTATTTGTGTCGGTGTGTCCGTGTATGTGTTAGTGCGCCTCGACTCGACTCGAGCTATAAAACTGCGTCTGTGTGCGCTCGAATAAATGTAGGTGAATGTAGCGCGTACTTATATCTCGCTGTACGGTCGGCATAATAATTTGTAATTAATTAAATATTGTTTTTTTATTTTTTTGTTTTTCTTTGTTGTTTTCGTAGTTTAAAAATGGAATATTGTGTTTTTAAATTTAGTGTTATTTAATATTAATTAATTTAATTTAATAAAATAAAATTAATTATGTGTCAAAGAGCTACTACACCAGTTGCTAGTATGACAATTAATATGTGATAGTATTAAAGTTTTTTTTTATTACGTAATTTTTAGAAAGCGATGTAGTTATTAAAAAGAAGGAATGCATTTCACAATCATTTATTTATTTATTTGGATTCCCAACAAACAACACAACGTACATAACTAAGATAAATAACCTGCAAATTATGCTTAGGTACAAGTCTTGTGTTCCTTCAGTTATTCGGAACAATATTATTTAATTATAATAATTGAGATACCACTGAAATTAACTTTGTAACGATACTTAAATCAAGTATGTAATAAAAATGTAAGAAACAAAAAGGGATCAAAGTCGTGAGTTGGCTTTTTGTCGCGTTTAGACTTCGTGCGTCTGTAACAACTGTTGTTACCGTTAGCGTTGCTGAGTCTGAAAAACCAAATGAAGTGCTTTTTTACCAAAAAATATGATGATTTAATTTATCGTTAAAAATGTTACTTACTACTAAGTCAACACTATAGCATGCCATATACCTAATTAATATTAAAATACTAATTTGTTAACGAATATAAAACAATTAATTGAGAAAATAATAATGAAAACCGAATTTTCTATCCGTACTCGCCCACCCCGTACTTACATACCTAAGTATAACAGCGGTACCGCTGCGCCCAACACATCTTGATCCTTGGTCTTACCGTAACTAGTACTGTCACGGGGATCAACGAAAACTGGTCGCTGGTACATAGCTAGATTGAAACTCCACTTGGTTGGAGTGTCGTCTGCCGCGCTCCACGATCAAAATGATTCCAAATTCGAATGAATATTTTTTTCTGTTGTATTTTTTTTATTATTTCTGTATTTTTTTTTTCGTGTATCGAGTTTAATTGTTGCTTGAGGTGGGGTGGTTTTTTTGGTGTAAAAAATATTTTTGTTTTTTTTTTTTTTTTGTAAAGTTTATTATTTTGTGTGGTGTAACAAGTAACTGTCTGGATTTTTTTTCTGGTATGTCTGTATTCTGTTGAAATATCCAGAAAACTATATATTTTAACAGGATGGACGTCTACTTCTAGGTAATTTCTTAATTTGCTCCACTAATAAAAAAAACAAACAAATACATATTCTCCCTTTATAAAAAACAATGCACCCAAATAAAAAACTCTCCTTAAAAAAACTATTTAAATAACTAAAAATAAACCGGTAATAATATTTTTCGTACAGACACCAAGGCAATGTCTCTATGCGTCTTAAATTGGCATCCATTTTCTAGGTTACCCATAGATTGTTTATAAAAAGTTATAAATACGAGTCGTACCAACTCGAAGACGTGATACTTCGAAATTTCGACCTGTTATTTTTTTGTTTTATAAAAAAAATGTGAGATAGAGTAAGCTAGTAGGAATTGTTGACAGGTGAGTCATACGCTTTACTAAAAAGTCTATGAAGAGGTAGGTTGGGATGTAGATAGAATAATGTAAGAATCGTATTGAGTTTTTCAGTTTCAGACACTCTGTGAAAAACCTATCGCTATGTGTTATATATTATAACCCCCGGTTTCCGAAAGGCCGATCAATGTTAAAATCAATTTAATCTCTTGTCAAATCATCTGATTGGTTGACTGAATTATCAACAACCAATCAGATGACTTGACAAGAGATTTAACAGGAGATAAGTTAATTTAAGCGTTGACAAGCCTTTCAGAAACCGGGTGTAAGTGTGGGCAAGCCAAGCTTTGGCATGAATGTCGCTTCGACCGTAGTGATACCACGGCCTCACAGAAAAACCACGTGAAACAACCACAGCGTTGTTTCGCCGTGTGAGTGAGGTTACCGGAGGCCTTTTCGGATTCTCACACCTTGCCGATCCTCAATCCTAATAACCTACAAAAGGCCAGCAATGCACTTGCAGTAATCCTTTTGTATTACTAGTGTCCATGGGTAGCGCTGATTGCTTACCATCAGGTAATCCGTCTGTTCGTTTGCCGAACTATGACATGAAAGAAAGACTTCGCGTTATGATTAAAATCGTAAAAAGCTCAAGACCTTTTATGAAGAAACTAAAATTAAATCAATGCTGCGCGTTATTTTTGTTTTTTTTTTATTACTATTCCTAAATAGTATAAAACGAAGTCGGTGTCTCTGTCCCTATATCCCTATGTATGCTTAAATCTTTAAAACTTCGGAACGGATTTCGATGCGGTTTTTTAATAGATAGAGTGATTGAAGAGGAAGATTTCTATGTACATATAATGACATCCATTAAATAGAGGAGAAATTTAGCATTCAAGCAACACTCGTATGAAGCCGGGTCGGGTCGCTAGATATTAATAAATTTAAAAATCCAAAAGTATACTGTCAGTCGGAGTTCATTCTCTATACATAAAACTGTGAAAAAACCGGACTGAGAATCAAATGCAAAGCCAAGGAGGTAATGAGTCATTTTTTGAAAATGGTAGATATCTTT